AGTGACCCTTTATTTTACTTTATTTTTGTTTTTGAGACAGAGTCTTGCTGTGTCACTCAGGCTGGAGTGCAGTGGCACAATCTCGGCTCGCTGCAACCCCCGCCTCCTGGGTTCAAGGGATTCTCATGCCTCAGACTCCTCAGTAGTTGGGATTACAGATGCGTGCCACCATGTCCAGCTAATTTTGTTTTGTATTTTTAGTAGAAAAATACAAACATCGTTTCACCATGTTGGCCAGGCTGGTCTCCAACTCCTGGCCTCAAGTGATCTGCCCGCTCCCACCTCTCAAAGTGCTGGGATTAGAGGCGTGAGCCACTGCACCCGGCCCAGAGTGACCCTTTAAAAACAGAAATCAGATCTTGTCACTTAGTTGTGTAGAACTCTCTTCACATTACACTTATGACAAACTGCGAACTCTTTATGACACTTCCGAGGATCTACGTGATCTTGCTATTGCCTGCCTTGCAACTTCATCAAAGCCACTCTGCCTCTCCTTTACTCTGCTCCAGCCTCACCAGCTTTTTCCATGCCTTGAAATTCCAGAGCTCATTCCTGCCTCAGGACTTCAGACTTTCTATACCCTCAGCCCTTCACCGGGCTGGCTCCTTCAAATCAATCTTGTCTTTACTCAGAAGATACTTTTTCAGAAAGGCCTTTTCTCTACCCTAGCTTATATCATTTCCTCATATACCTAATCTAGGTAATTAGCTGAGATGAGTTAGGTTGTTTATAGTCTCTTCTTCCCCAGCAAGGAGAAGAGCTCTGTGAGGACTAGGACCCAGCACAGTTTCTAACACAAAAAAGATATTCAACAAATATTGTTGAATAGGTCTAATTCCAGTTCTCAGACCCACCATACTATGCTACGGCTTTGAACTCATGCCACTCTCATTAGTTATCTCTAAGACAATATGGCTAGAGTGGAATGTAAAGCCACAGTTATCTGGGTATAAACCATTTCTCTACCTGTTCCCTGTTCTGTAACTGCACAAGTCACTTATCAGATGAGTATCTTAATTTACTTGCTGTAAAAATGAGTATAGTAGTCCTACTCTGTAAAGTTGTGGAATTACATAATTTATATAAAAAGCACAGCAGAGTGGCCTATAGTATGTGTCTAATTGTTAGTTCTCTTTTCCCTTTGGTCTTCCACAAATTATAAGTTTATATTTATATGTCTTCTACTCTATGACAGGCATGATTCTAAGTGTTTTACATGGATTGACTAATTCAATCTACATAAAAACTCTACAGGACAGAAATGATAAATATCACTATGTTACAGATGAGAAAACTTAAGTCATACAGTGGTTTATACAACTTGCCTAAGGTCATATAAGAGGAAAGCAGCAGAATCCAGACTTGAACCCCGCAGTGTTGTCCAATTTCAGAGGTAAAAAAACAGTCATTGACTATCTTTATTGTGATCCCATGGTAAGAAACACATTTTACATTATAAGTGTATGTAGACATATGACTGTATCTGAAGTATAAGTTTCACAAAATAATACCCTTACTATACCTGTAGTGCAATCTGATAGTTTCTCTTCATTTTAATTTTTAAAAATGTTTTTGGCCAACTTACTGGTTTAATGATCTATTAATGAATCAAAACAGCACTTTGAAAAATTGCTTGTCTAAATTACAATTAATCCAACTGTTCTGACCTTCCAGCTACCTCAACCTGTACCAGAAAAACTCTGATGGCTATCAGTTCAGATTTTCATGTTTCATTTACATTCCAGATAAAGTCCTTATTAATTATTTAAGATACTGATCCCCCACCCTGACTCCGATCTACTCCCTATTGCAAAGTCTTTTGCACTTATGGAAAAAATACCTCATCAGGTAAGATTCAAATAATTCTTTCACTCTACAAAAAGTATTTGTCTCTATTAAAACTATTAATACAAGCTGCCCTATGTTAGAAACATTTATATACAAGTTTGTCCTTTCCACTAGATTATCAGAAACTATGGCGGGCAGAAACCATGTTTTATAAACGTCTTTGTAGGCCCAAATTAAAGGGTGAATTAAAGTTAAATGAAGAGAAGTTGGTATAAAAAACTCTGGCTCTTTAAGTGTTGGATGGTGTGTGTGTGTGAGAGAGAGATTCAAATAAGAGAATCTCTTACACTGAATCTTACATATTCCCACATAAACATGTAAGACATCCTCCCACAGATCTGGTGTTGCAGGTGGTTTACAAAAATCCTTCTATCTGGAAAATCTGCATTGGCCATGCATTTAATTTCCCAATGCCATTCCTATCTCCTTGTGGCTCCTCCTTTTGCATTTCACTAAGCTAAGAGAATGTACATTTCTACCTCTGGCAAAAGTTTACCCCTGTAGACACACAGTCCTATGAAAACTAAACTGAAATGGTTTCTGGATGAGCAGATGTACATTAACAATTTCACCTAGTCTGACTCTCAATCTCGAGTTCTTTAATGGGCTGGTATATAAACTACTGCTTATATCCATAGATATTGAAGTATATATCTGAGTGCAGGCTATATATCAAACAAAGAAAAAACCCCTGACTTGGAATTCTCAGTTGCAAGGCAGGAAATTCTTTCAGAGGGCAGGAAGTAGCTATGTGCTTTTCTGCTAAGCAATACTTCAGTTTCCCCACCCTTAGGGAAAGCTTGCCCTGATGTTGTTTCAATTCAGCAGATGCTGAGCAGTTAGAGAAAGGGAACAAACAACTAGGGGAAGTATTACTACCTGTTTATTTGGATTTTTACTAAACAAGACTGGCCACCAGCTGTTGCAGGGTAGGGGAAGAGCTAGATGGGAATAGGAAATGCCAACTCAGATGGAAGCTAGTTTTTGGCTTTCTGGCTCTCCGGGGGAAAAAAGGTATCAAGGAAGTACATGGTCATTCTCAAATGGCCAAGAGGCAAAGGCAAGATAATGCACTCCATTCACTAGCATGGCGGGGTTGGGCTTAGAGTGCATAAATGAAGTCACACATAGTTATGAAATTAATGTTAGTCACCTACTCTATATTCATTTTCTCCTTCTTCCTTACTAAAACCTGTATATTGTTGGGCACAGTAATGTCCATGCAAGAATGACATTTCTGGGCCTCCTTTATACTAGCTGTAGTCACATGATTGAGTTCTGGCCAAATCAAGTGAAAGTGTTGAATACGATTTCCAGGAAGACTCTTTAGAGGGCCCTGACTCAGCTAGGTTTGCTCATTTTGTCCTTGCCCTCTTTTCCTCATGCTGCCAGGAATTTCAAAGTGACAGCTGATGGTCAAGTGGCTATTTTGGACCATGGGGTGACCTTGAGAAGGATCATGTTGTGGTACAGGCAGGAGCCTCCATACTAGCCTTTAACTGCCCAACTTTGGCATAGTTTTCTATGAGAAAACTATTTAAGCTGTTGCTAGTTCTGCTTAATATAGAGTCAAACTCAGTGCTAACTGAGATACCCTGATAGTTACTGGCAATCATGTAACAGATACTTCCTATCTTCCTATCCTCCAAAGCAAGGTGGATTCTGTACCTTACTCTATCCTTCTTACGACAGTAAAGGAGAGCTGAGGCATGTGTTATGTCAGAAGAGGAAACTGGAGTTGAAACAAATCAAGACTTGCCCAATGTCACACAACTGGCTACTTGGAAAGCAGCAGGCTCTGGAAGCCAGGGTGCCTCACCCCTAGGATTTTTAAAAGCATAGTAGAAATAGGTGACTAATTTCCTTTAAAAAGATTTTGGGCCGGGCGCGGTGGCTCACGCCTGTAATCCCAGCACTTTGGGAGGCCGAGGTGGGCAGATCACGAGGTCAGGAGATCGAGACCATCTTGGCTAACACGGTGAAACCCCGTCTCTACTAAAAATACAAAAAATTAGCTGGGCGTGTGGTGGGCGCCTGTAATCCCAGCTGCTCGGGAGGCTGAGGCAGGAGAATGGCGTGAACCCAGGAGGTGGAGCTTGCAGTGAGCCAAGATCGCGCCACTGCACTCCAGCCTGGGCGACAGAGTGAGACTCTGTCTCAAAAAAAAAAAAAAAGATTTTGATTGGTTATTTTTAAAAAGCAAGCATTTGGCTGGGTGTGATGGCTCATGCCTGTAATCCCAGCACTTTGGGAGGCTGAGGCCAGCGGATAACAAGGTCAGGAGTTTGAGACCAGCCTGCCCAACATGGCAAAACCCCGTCTCTACTGAAAAGACAAAAATTAGCTGGGCATGGCAGCGTGCACCTGTCATCCCAGCTACTTGGGAGGCTGAGGCAGGAGAATCGCTTGAAACCAGAAGGCAGAGTTTGTAGTGAGCTGATATCATGCCACTGCACTCCAGGCTAGGCAACAAGAGCAAAACTCCAACTCAAAAAAAAAAGCAAGCATTTAAGCACATCTCCTTTCTTCTATCAAATGATCTTCTATCAAGGGGACATCAGAGTCACTGACTTTAAAAACATCCTTTTAAGTTGTCTCCAGAATACTACTGCTATATTAAAATGAATTAGAATTCACTGTATTGTTACAGCATACACTAAAAGAGCTGACTTCTCAAACAGGTAAAGACACATTTTGAAGTAGCAATTAGTAAAATGAATGTGTTACTGTTTTAAAAGCATAACAGACATGATGATTAATGTAGAGTTGACAAAGTCTTTAAGAGGAAAAAACAGAAGTAGGCCTTCTTTTAAAATTTTTTATTTTTTTGAGACGGAGTCTTGCTCTATTGCCAGGCTGGAGTGCAGTGGTGCGATCTCGGCTCACTGCAACCTCCGCCTCCCAAGTTCAAGCGATTCTCCTGCCTAAGTCTCCGGAGTAGCTGGGACTACAGGCATGTACCACCATGCCCAGCTAATTTTTGTATTTTTAGTAGAGTCAGGGTTTCACCAGGTTGGCCAGGATGGTCTCAATCTCTTAACTTCGTGATCTGCCCACCTCGGCCTTCCAAAGTGTTGGGATTACAGGCATGAGCCACCGTGCCCGGCCAGAGGTAGGACTTTTTATTACAAAGTAAGTAAAATTGAAACAGGTGAATTCAACATAGAAAAGTTTTAATGAGACAAATGTCAAACAAGCATATCAACTTCTTAAAAAACAAAGAAAATCTGAAAGTTTAATTACAAAAACACTTATACAGAAAACTTGGCATTTCAACAGTTCCAAACACATGTACACAAGTTTTTTCTAAAATTAGTCAGAAATAAAATACCTTGTCTCCCTTTCCTCAGCTGCTCCTTCTGTTTTAATTAAAAAGAAACAAAGAAATCTGTAACACTGAACAGGCAACAGCTTATTTCTTGAGAACATAAAGTACAGTAATATCTACAGGTGTACTGGGCAATATGAATTAGGTATTGTGCTAGCCTGTAACTTCATTTACTGCCTCCTCATTGAGCACAGAGGAGAGAGGAGGTGGCAAAGGCCTGCTCTACAGATACTGACAGTTTTGTGGCATCTGAATCCCAGCCACCAGAGGCAGGTGAGTAGCTACTGGGAAAGAGAGCATTTCAAAAGCAAGCTGCTTATTTTCTGAAAATGATTTCATACTGTAGGCTCTCTTGAGATCTCATGTATTCCTGAATATGCAAATGTTTCAAGTCACTGTCAAGTGTCCCATCTAGAGTCAGGAGAATGATGATCCTGGACCACGTTATGGCCTTTTCTGGTCACAAAAGCAGTGCTAACAATGCTGCACAAAACTGAACACAAATGAGTAACAGAAATATGAGGAGGAAGGAAGAGAGGACAGAAAGCATCTGGCAGAAGGAAGAAACCAACCTCCAGAATGGGCTCTGGATGTCCTTCTGCCATAGACAGTGAATTCTGGCTTGGACTTTGCAGACAAGGAGTCTAAGAGAAGCGGCAGAAATACAGATGATGGCAGGGAAATAGGAAAATACAGAAGAGCAAGAGAGCTGGCTAGGTTTATAGCAATAGATAATAATGGGGTCTTATTCTAAAAATTTGCCAAGTGATGGTATGTGGGTTTCAGCACATGGATATCTGATGTATGTTCACATAAGACATTTTAAAAACAGATTTTGTTGCTGTTTTCCTTTGGACTAATAAAGAAAACAGGCAAGGAGATGCTGAGAAGACAGGATGGTGTAGCAACTTGACAGGGAGTTCTGCCCTACACTCTGACTTACGGGCATATTGTGAGAGGGGTCACACTTCTATCCACCTGCCTGCAGTGGTGTGGTGCCCAGACAATGGGCTCTGCTTGCTCTGCTTTGGTTCCAAAGATCTCAGCTATAACCTTTAGCCTTGTGCTAGAGTGTCAAAACAAAAACAAAACAAAGAAACAACCAAAAAACCCTGAGGTAAGAATCAGAACCTCTCTTTCCTTTTGCTGTTAAAGGAACCAGAAACTGCTAGGCGTGATGCTTGAGCCCAAGAGTTGGAGGCTGTAGTGTGTTATGATAGCATCTGTGAATAGCCACCGCACTCCAGCCTGGGCAACACAGCGAGACCTCATCTCTAAACAAAACAAAACAAACAAACAAAAAAATGAACCAGAAAGTCCTCTTTACTTATGCTGTTAAATGAAAAAAATCACTAAGGAGGGAGAAGGAAGGGAAGCCTGTCTTCTTCACATGGATCAGCAGTTCATCGCTACAGAAGGAAGACAAAGGACATGAGAATTCTTCCTTGCTTTTTTTGTGAGCTCAAGTGACTATTTTGAATGATATTTCCACCTATTTAGATCCATGAATCATTACTCCTAAAGAAGACAGGAATTCCCTCAGTTTTCACTTACAATAAACTTTGGCCCTTTGTACTCTTTCCCTTTCTCCTCTGTTTACAAGTGACCTTTTCCTCAGCAAAAATGCTCCACAAGACATTGTCAATGGATGGGAACAGAAGAGCCTTGCTGGGGCTGGGACTCCATGTCTGTGCAGGAGCAATGCTTAGAAAACAGTAGGCAGTACCAGTGAGGAAGGAAAGAGCATTCTCCTTTAGGGCAGCAATCACAAAGCATTCTCCTTTAGGGCAGCAATCACAAAGCCACACTAAGACTGGTACCCACTGAGCACCATGTGGGGTAGGAAACATAGCCTTGCTCCACATGGCGCTATCAACAAGCAGCTCCTTTCTTTGGAGTCACAGCAGGGCAATGATGGGAGAAGATTGGACCTGTCTAATGCAAGAAACTCTCCTTCAGAACCTTGCTGAGCAACAAAGTTCAGAGGTCAGAAAATGGAGATGTATAAATTGGTGGGGGCCAAGAAAAGCAAAAATAACCCCCAGAGGCATTTAAAAAAAGTGACAAGTAGGTAAGAAAACTGGAGCTCCACTGATAAAAGGGTCTAAGTGAAATTACAACATGAGAAGTCTTCCTTTCTGCAGCAGCAGATGTCAGCATCAGGGTCACCCAGTAAGCTGAAGATATGCAGCTCCACTTTAACAGAAATGGAAATGGTAGGAACCTGAAGACCTGGGAGAGTGGCTGCATACCTTCAAAGTTTCACAGAAGGACAATTCCACAGGAAGCTCATATACATGTTGCTGCTCCCTCATATGGCTTCCTGGGGTGACGGCCTTTCACTCACTGAAAATTCTTTCACAAGCAAAGGGATCTGCACTCTTTCTCCACCCCAACTCAGTTCAAATTTCCATGGATGGCTTCTCATTCCTTACAAGTAAAAACACTTATGGAACATCTTGGAGCTCTAAGACCTGTGGAATCAGGAGAAAACAAAACAAAACAAAACAAACCAGAACAAAAACAAGAACAAACAAGGAAAATAACACCAAGAAAGTAAGTATTGATTGGAAGGGGTTAGCACTATGGATTTTAAAAATGCTTTGGTTTCATAAGCGTTACAGTGAGTGCAGGGTATATGTAAACTAAAGAACTCATAAAGCTGCAAGCAGGCAACCTCATTGAGATGTTTTACATAACATTTCAATGAGAAACATAACACTGCTCCAGTTCAGCAACAATGGGAGGTAGGAAAATCATCAGCTAAACACAGAAAAGCAACTATCCGGGACAAACCTGAGGAGGGAAAATGAGTAACCTACTTTAGTCTGAAGAATGTATGGTCAATCAAAACCAATTTTCTTCAAGTGTTAACTAAGGATATCTGCATGTATAGAGATGTATTATGTGCATATAATCAAGAACATTTCTCATATTAAAAAAAATACAGTCACATAAGATTTTCTTCCCCTAAACTCAAACAGCCAAATATTATCATTGAAATCAGGCAACATACGCATTTTAGTAGTTTATATAAGGTAGTCACCTTTCAACTTAAAATCACCCCCATGGCTTCCTCCCAGTTCCACTTGTCTCAAGGTACTACTCAGTCACAAGAAAGGTGACAGGTAGGGTAATTCTTCCACTGTATATTTATCAAAATAATTTTAAAATGGGCTAAAACTCTGTAACATTATAATTCCTGGATTGTAACTTTTTTTTTTTTTTTTTTTTTTTTTTTAGACGGAGTCTTGCTCTGTCGCCCGGGCTGGAGTGCAGTGGCGCGATCTCAGCTCACTGCAAGCTCCGCCTCCCAGGCTTACGCCATTCTCCTGCCTCAGCCTCCCGAGTAGCTGGGACCACAGGCGCCCGCCACCTCGCCCGGCTAGTTTTTTGTATTTTTTAGTAGAGACGGGTTTCACCGTGTTCACCAGGATGGTCTCGATCTCCTGACCTCGTGGTCTCGATCTCCTGACCTCGTGATCCGCCCGTCTCGGCCTCCCAAAGTGCTGGGATTACAGGCTTGAGCCACCGCGCCCGGCCTACTTCCTATGTATCTTAATGCTCTATTTCAGGACTTTTTAGTGCTTTCCCCTTCCCCCATCCACCTCTTCCTTAGAGCAATGTTTTAGAAACCCAGTGAATGAGAGTTTAGATATCTGTGGTTCTAGTCTTGGATTCTGTACTCATCTATGCAGATATTTTCAAGCAAGATGTTTCTCCTCTCTGGGATTCAGTTTCTTCATATATAAAATGTTGGATTTCTAAAGGGCCCTTCCAACTCTAATATGCTCCTCTGAAACTTGTAGACCATTAGCTTCCCTTCACTCACTGGCTCCTGACAGTGGATGAAACCTTTGCCAAACTCTTGTCAGAGTAATTAATTGCACCATGAGTGCTGGGGACATCAGCCTCGCTGTCTGTACATATTTGTATAATGAGGCCAAACCAGTATTAATCACAGTCTTTGTAATTATTTCCTTTGACAGTTTTGGGGGGTGTGGGAAACCATCTATTGTTAGTTATGTTTGCATGGCTAGATTGTAAGAATCTGTAGTAATATAACAGTTCACACTTTTAGTTATTTTTTCAGGGGCAAAATATTTGTAGGTTAAAATCAAGGATAATAGTAATATTCTAAGTTTACAGACTCCTCAGAAAACAAATAATATAGTTTATATTCTTGAGATGAACAAAGCTTTAGGAGAGTCTTACTGGCAAAGTGCTCAAAATGGAAAACCACTTTTGGGTCAATACTTAATTAGCTGCCCTATATCTATGTGAAGAGACACCATGTTATCAATTAATGTTTTCTTTCACAATCTTCCACACTGTTTCTCCCAGTTCTCACTTTTCAAGCATACAAGAGTGCTAATTGAAAACACTGTACGAAAATGGGAAGGATGATGAGCTCCTGAAAATCCCAGGCCTAGATTTACAAGCTGTTCCCTTCATAAGCAGCAGCAGTAATGCCACTTCTTTATTCTGCAGGGAGTCCAGCCATCTCTAAGAAGTACAGTCCATTCCATCTGGCTACTCACTAGAAGGATGGTAATCCTTTCCCCATCAGAGGCTGAGGCTAAAATACAATGCATTGCCTTGTACAGTTACCATCCAAGGGCATCACCAACAAGTATACTAGGCATTTATCTTTGTCTCTACTAGGCATTTATCTTTACATATGTTGCTCAAAGTCCAAACCGAGGCAGAACATAAATTATGTATATGAGTGTGCTCATGTACTCACAGGATGAATAAAGATTCAAACCCATGACCAATCTAAGGAACATATCCTGCTGTTGACTCTCATTTTAGTATCCATATATGGCCAACTCATTGTAGAGTCCAATCTTAAAATTTCCACACAGTTTCTATGTCTGCAGGTATGGAATAACTTAACCAATAGAGCAAAGGGATGCCAATTTTGTGGGATGGCATACTAAAAGGGTATCCCATCTTTAGGAATTTGAATGAACAAATAGCAATTCCATTTAAGAAATGACCATTAGTACCAAAAAGTGTACATGTAGATCCCTTCTAGGGGGGGGAAAAAAAAAGGAATACATACTACTGCTCATTTGTTGAATATATTTTTTAAAATCTTATTTTCTCTCTCCTCTTTTTTTTGCTTCAGAATTTTATATTTTTATGGTTTTTTGAGACAGAGTCTTGCTCTGTCACCCTGGCTAGAATACACTAGTGTGACCCGAACTTACTGAAACCTGAACTCCTGGGCTTAAGTGATCCTCCTGCCTCAGCCTCCTGAGTAGCTAGGACTACAGGTGTGTGCCATCATGCTCGGCTAATTTTTTTCATTTTTTTAAAAGCAGGGGTCTCACTATTTTGTCCAAGCTGGTCTTGAACTCCTGGGCTCAGGCAATCCTGCCTCAACCTCCCAAAGTGCTAGAACTACAGGCATGAGCCACTATGCCCCACCAAGAATTTATTTATTTTTTATTAAAAAAAAATTTTGAGACAGTATCTTGCTCTATCACCCAGGCTGGCGTGCAGTGGTGTGATAATGGCTCACTGCAGCCTCGCCTCGACTTCCTTGGCTCAAGTGATCCTCCCACTTCAGCCTCCCAAGTAGCTGGGACCACAAGCTCACGCCACCATGCCTGGCTAATTTTTTGTAGTTTTTGTAGATGTAGGGTTTTGTCATGTTGCCCAGACTGGTCTTGAACTCCTGGGCTCCAGCAGTCTGCCTGCCTTGACCTCCCAAAGTGCTAGGCTTACAGGTGTGAGCCATTGCACCTGGCTGAAGAGTTTATTTTTCAATCTATCAAAACCAGGGAGTTACCTGTTTGTATGGTGAGTCCACATCAACATTTAACAGACAACAGTCACTGTGTTATTGAGTGGTGAATATAAAACCTTCCTACTTATGTAGGCTCACATACATACAATGTCTCACTGACTACTTCTAAATTATCATTAGTATTTTCCAGAGAAAAGGAAGATTAAAAATTAAGTTATATTTATTTTGTTCTGAGTGCTATTTTGGGGATGATTTCCTCTAAGTTTCCCACTCACTTTTCAAAACCTTTTGGGAAACTGATGCCCAAGAATACAGCTAATAAGTGACAAAGCTAGAACTGAGGCTAAACCACAAAAACCATGCTCTTCCCATTAAACCATTCTGAAGCAAGCATGAGAAAAAACTGTCTTGAGTCTGTTTTATTTTATTTTTAGAGACATGATCTCTCTGGACTTGAACTGCTGGGCTCAAGCAATCCTTCCACCTAAGCCTCCCAAGTAGCTGGGACTACAGTGACTCTGTTTTCTAATATTATTTACTACATTTAACAACCACGCAACAGGATTCTTAACCAAGTCTCCAACTCATTCATCCAATGTAATCCCATGGTTTTAGTAGTATTGATAAAGTCTGATGACATCTTATTTTTGATGATGTGCTGGCATATAAATATTTATCAGTGAGCACTCACCATTCCCTAACGATCAAGTCTGTTCACAACTTCTCGAACTGTAGCTATGAAGTTTTCATTGTCTTGGGGATTAGCTAAAATAATACTGTGCAGTCTGTTCATATATGAGTCAATGGTGTCCACTGTAGGTGTCTCTCCACTTCCTGAAGTGAGATAAGAATAAAGTAAGAAAATTCTCCCTATTCAGTTTTACCATAAAACACAATTTCAAAGAAATAGTGATTCTAATGTGGTCTGCTCCACAGACATGCTTTTAATTTTAGAGGAGAGACTTTTAGGTCTCAAAGAAATAAATTAGTCTACATACTCTAAATAAACAGATGGGCTATATAATTGCTGATTGGATATATGAGTAGCTGCATGTAACAGAAGGTTAGACTCTCTCAGCTTTCTGCTGACTATCCTCAAAATGAAAGAGTATATAAGAAATACCAGTGTTCATTTTCCCCTCCTTCCCGTTAAAACAAAAACTACAAAGCAAACAAACATACATAAGAGGAAGCACTCTCCTCAAGATTTACTACTCAGTTTCCAGTGTTCTGAATAGCAAATTAAGCTTAAAAGAGAGGAAAACAGATATTAAAATATAAATAGACAAAAATTTGAATGACCAGAGAGCCTGAAACATTGGATGATTTTAGCCAATACTGACATTCTTTTATATCCAGAGGAGAAAAAATGTATTTTAATTACTTTTCCTCTGGAGGAGATTTCAACCTTTCCACACCAGTACTAACATAAATAGCATCCTGCTCCCCACAACACACACACCCCTGTCCCTGACAGTTCTCAGGCAGGAAGACTTACCAGGCAAGGGCATGCTGGCAAAGCTGCTGGTCAGCACCTGCCGCAGGGTCTCCAGGTGCTGCTGTAAGACTGTGTTGCGGCTCCGCTCCTGGATCACATCCACCTCCAGCTTCTCCACTGCTGTGCGCATGCTCTCCACGTGCTTTTGCAGGGCTGCATTCCTCTCCTCAAACTCCATGTTGGATTTGCGAAGCTGGCGGAGCTCTGCCTCCCGAGCTGAGGACATACATCCCACAGAACACATGCAGCACTAGAAGGAGTCTCTGAGGAGTCCCAATGACTCTTACAGGGAAGTTCTGCTTAGCTGCCTCTAATTTAGCTACCCCACCTCATCTCCCTATTCTCATTATGGCATTCCTGATAGCAATTTCAGCAATGAAACGCCTGACTCCCCAGAGCTATTTTAATTCTTAAAGTTAGTCACATTTCATACGTAAGATTGCAACAGTTTCAATTCCCAGTATTTTTTTGTTTGTTAGTTTTTGCTTTTTAAAATTGTACAATGAGAAGCCTGAGGGGTTTTGCAGGGGGATCCTGGGAGACTGGCCAAGCACAGCTGTAGGTACCCATCTTTACTACAATGGGATCAGATTTGCTCTTAGTTATTTTATATTTTGGACTCCCATGTAAGTTTTTATTTGTACAAAGGGTTCCAGGCTCAGAGTCTGAAGACAAGTGAATTTGTGATTTGCATTTATTTCCTTTCATCCAGAGACCAAAGAAGCTTTGACAACAATGGCCTAACTTTCCTTCACTGGTCTTTGAGCAGCTACCTTTACCATAGAGTGCAATATAGGCAGTTCTTCTTCCTTTAGACTAGTCCTAAGGAGGAATAACACTACCATTGCTTTTGAGCAATGCATTTCTTCTGAGAAGTAAGTCCCCTGTCAAAAATCTGAGAAACACAAAAAGAAACTTCAGTAATCACCTTTGCTATGGTTCAAGAATTCCTCTGTAAATATAGGGATGTCAAAAACAGACCGTTCCTTTACCTCTGTTTCTTTCTGTGAATCAAGAGGAACAAAACAGTTAATTCTTAATAGAAGCTAAATTAAATAATAGTGCCTGAAGACAATGATCACGTCTTCTTTAAAAAAGAATAGGGTGAGCAGGAATCAGTCCAGGTGAGTCTGTGAGGGAAATGTATTCATCTTTCCATTGGAATCCAACTTTCATAGAGCTTAAGCAGGTAAAGTATTCACTTCTCTCAGGTGTACAACTACTGTGTAATTAGAAACCTTAAAACAACGTTACGTAAATTTCCCTAATGGAGACTTTGAAGCCAATTCTTAGCCTTGTATTTTGAATAGTCAACAGTATACAGTTGTGAAAGTGATTGCAGTGGGAATTGAGAAAGAGTGTTTTTTTTCAGTCACTTTTGTTGGTTATGCATGTAAAATGTTCCCTAAGATTATGCAATATAAATCTGCAGAGTGGACAATAAGAATTTTAAGCAGAAATCTGACAGCTACGAGCAATAATTATGATATTCCATTGGTTCTTCTATTTACTTATGAGAGGCAGCCTATCTTTGGGGTCTTTCAGATTTTCTTTAGACAAAGGAAAAACAAACAAACAAACATACATACAAGACCACGAAATCAGAAATAACTAGGTTCTAAAAATTAGAAAGCAGAGGATTATGTGAGATACAAAAGAGTAACAAAGCCTAAAATTAATTCACCAATAAGCCATTAAAAGTAAAAAAGCCTCACAAGATCATTGCAAAATATATTCCAGAATGATCTTTAAGAATAAAGTCAATAATTCAAGATGCTTTGGCTGTCACTCCTAAAATGAATTTGAAGTTGAAAGCATTGTGAATATTAATTTTAAGTGTCTTGGCATAGTGTTCAAAATTTTCCATAACAAAGGTGGTAAAACGGCAGGAAGTGAGAAGTGAAGAAACTGTTAGTGAAATCTTAAGATCCCAGGACCTTTATAACATGAAAAACATGCAAACATAATACCTATATTTCATTCCTATAAACAACTGTTCAAAGCTAGACAGAATGTATCTTTCCTACTCTTGTCACCACTGGCTTTTTTTCTTTTTTTTCTGGAGACGGAGTCTTTCTCTGTTGCCTACGGTGGAGTGCAGTGGCGCGATCTCAGCTCACTGCAACCTCCGTCTCTTGGGTTCAAGCAATTCTCCTGCCCCAGCCTCTCAAGTCGCTGGGATTACAGGTGCCTACCACCATGGCTGGCTAATTTTCTGTATTTTTAAAGTAGAGATGGGGTTTTGCCATGTTGGCCAGGCTGGTCTTAACTCCTGACCTCTGGTGATCCACCTGCCTTGGCCTCCCCAAGTGCTGGGATTACAGGCTTGAGCCACCGTGCCCGGCCTCCACTAGTTTTCTAAATCTTTGAACCCCAAAATGACTTGGTGCCCAGTAGAAAAGCTAAGCAGTTCACAGCTTAAGAGGGAAATCTGACACCCGAGCTCCTGTTTTCATAATGGTGGCTGCCTAGTAAGGGGGCTGGGCTGTGTGAACCACCTGCCAATGGCAGCTGAGCAAGAAAGACACTGAAAAGCTATGTAATTTCAGAACACTTAATTTCTACTTTGTATTTTTCTTCCTAACAAAAGAAAGCAAAGTTTCCCAGAACAACTTGAAAATAAACAACAAAATTATCAATTGAAAGTCCCAAGTTTCAACATGCAAAGCTCTACCTCGAGCCAGTTCCTAGGGGATTTCAATGGAAATTAATGTATGAACAAGAAAGGCTGGTTCCAGAAGGAATCTCAGCCATATTTTGCAGTGGCTTTCTCTCAAATTTGCTGGCTTCCCATATGCTTTAACTGTTACTGGGCTGCTGCAGGAAAACAAAACTTATGACACATAATCCCAACACGCACAAGGCATAACAGATACAAACATAAGTCCACAGATGACTTAGCATAAAGACTTAGGACATTATCATCCTATCTTATTTAGTCTCCAACTTAACTGCAGTTACATGAGATCAGTTACCTAGCCATACGTCTCAATATCTGCCAGTTAGATGGGTAAAGTGGAGACGCTTGGCTCCCATTACCATGGTACAAAGATGCCTCTCCAAGGTCTTGACTCTCCTCAGACTGGTAATCTTTTCTCTCCTTTGCCAGAGCAGTCCAAACCAAGCTAATTATGTAAGGGCAGAGGCCAGCACCACATAGGTGCATTAACACACTGCCCCTTGGTACAGATTCTTAGAGCACAAAATAAGAAACATTAAAGCAATTAAATAAAACTGTTCAGTCTCTGAAAGGTAACAGAGAAATTCTACTTAATGGAAGAGTGGTAATAAAAAACATCAGCGCTCTTCCATTACTGAGCACATTTCATGGCATGGAGAGGATCCTCCTGGGGGCTTGGGTGTACTTAAGCTGCTCCAAGGATAGCTCAAGGGATTAAAATCATAAGGATTTGATTACCCTTTCACTGAAAGGGTCTAATTTGTTCAGGCTGAGTGTCATTCTGTCATTTCTCATAAATTAAAGGAGAAACAAAATTATTGTTTCTATCTTAGTTTTCACATAAGATACAGACACTTTCTTGAGAGTAATACTAGCTAACTCTTGGGTCTAGTGGGCTGGCTTTCGATTTGAGAGGAGCAAGAATATTCTTCACTTCGGTTTTCCATTCTGGATATTGAATGGAGGTTAAGAGAAAAGAGGCCCTTTTGAACTGAACCTATCTTGCTGTGATCTAGGCCCAGTGCCAGAATTTCAAAGAGTGTGATATGTGCTTCTCTCAAGAGCCTTTTACTTTGGGAAATGCTCTTAACATTGTGTACCACCCTGAAGTGCCCCACTGCTATGCAGAATGGCTTTCAGGTCAGCATTTCTTCAGCTCTAATATGCCCTCTCCAGTACCTGCCTTGGTAACAATGACTTAGGGATCCAAGTTTCATTTGGAATACAATAGGTTTCTTTACTATACACAAACCAAATAGTTTACTTAACTACCAACACATTTTACTGACATCTCGGGCAACCAGGCCCATTTTTACTTTCAACACTATGTCCTTTATGCTACGTAGCATGGCACTGTGCTGTCAAGAATGCTAGACTATGACACAGAAGGCCTGGGTTTCCGTCACAATTCTGCCTCCAATTTAATTCAGTAAGTGATTCTGGGTAAATTCTTTCCATTCTATATACCGTCTTAGGCAAGTCACTTTCCTCACTGACAAAATGAGGTGGTCACTTGAGAGGATCACTAAGTTTCAGTGTTTTACTCCTCATAGGATAAGTAAAGGGAAATAAGTACGTATTTAGGATCTACGGTCTTTAGACAATGCAAGATATTTGCTCTTTTATTAAAAACTTACTCATACCTCTGCTGGAGCCATTTTACCCACCCTGAGGTCTCCACAAAACCTAGGTCATTTTAAAGTCCTGATTCAATTACTCCTTTCCATGGGCTCCTTCTGTGGCTGCTTTTCACCCACAGTGCTTTCAATTTTTCTGAACTTCTATTATACTAAGAAGTTATATGTAAGAAAATTACTGGGTAACAGTGTTTAAAAACAGTTTTAAAACTTTCAAATCAGTTCTTTTATATTGCAATTGTTCTAAAATTATCTAATTTAGGAAACATATTATTCAGTGAAAAATAAAAATGGCTAAAGTAAGGGACATTAATTGGGTCAACACGCTTACTAAAGGAGCTTCATCCTGCTGTGGGCATACCAACACATGGATTTACAGAACCTACTGTATAACCTTTTAAGAAACAACTATTCGCTCTCCATCTGCTCACTCCTTTTTTTTGTTTGGTTTAACATGTGTCTAGTCTAATCCTGTAACAGGGAAACATAGAGACTCACTTCTTTTCACAAATCACAGACATTACAGAAATTCATATTATACTAATGTATCTGAATAAACACCTTCACTTCTCAAATTATCAGCAGCAGGTTCTACGATACAGACTAAATCTACATGTTTTCTGACTGCAACTATCAAGTTTACTGAAGACAAAAATGTCACATATAGTTTGGCCAGCAAAATTCATAGTGATGAAATGAGTCAGATGATTGACACCTATTCAGACGACTGACTAGAAAATGTGAGCTCTAATGTTTCAGATTACTGTCCAAATTCTCTTTGGTAACTCTTAAGGATAGAGAAGCTATAAAATAGAGAAAAAAAGAAGTACGGAAATTTCATGATATTGATAGTTGGGCACACAGGCAAAGAAAGATAGAAGTAATTATACAAATGTCTGCTAATATGAAAAGTTTGCAACATTATTATGATTTACAATACAAAGAATACATACAAAGTTTCTCCAGCAAAAAAACATAACATTTCATCCGAATTAGAGCATAGAATGTCATATATAATTACATTTATATGGGATCTATCTGAAGAATAAAATGCAAATATTTACTATGTTTCTCACTTTATAGTTCATAGATGGTAATAACATCTATTTGACCTGTGAATCTGAATCTTTTCTCTATGTTTTAAGGTAACCAACATTTCCTTGATTTGGTAAAAAAAACAAATACATGTAAAATAGTACATCAGAAAATTCTTTTTGTTCAAATTCCCAGTTATTTCAGGTCAACTTTGAATAGATTCTTGTACAAAAATAATCACTTATGGAATACCTTCTCAAGGTAAGGGTATCATGATAGGTGGTATAGGGTTGGATATAAAGATGAAAACTAGACTGTGCATGTCCGCAAAGAAATTACAACCAAAGAGTGTGAGCCCTTGAATTACCTCAAAACCCCTAGGTCAGATCAGCTAAGCACATAAGAGAAGTATAGAGAGCCATGAAGGTTAAAGGAAGTTGGAGGAAACAAAAGTTTGAAGGAGGAAACATAATTTGAAATAACACACACACCTAAATCCCATACACACAGAAACATAGGCCTAAATCCTATCAGTGGGGCTGAACCAAGTGGGAGGAAAGAAACCAGTATACAAACACGTGCTAGTGAAGTGAGGGAATAGGAAAGGAGGTGTAAGAACTGAGACACTGGGCAGGGCATGGTGGCTCACGCCTGTAATCTCATCACTTTGGAAGGCCAAGGCAGGTGGATCACGAGGTCAGGAGATCGAGACCATCCTGGCTAATATGGTGAAACCCTGTCTCTACTAAAAATGCAAAAAAATTAGCTGGGTGTGGTGGCACGAGCCTGTAGTCCCAGCTACTTGGGAGGCTGACGCAGGAGAATCGCTTGAACCTAGGAGGCAGAGGTTGCAGTGAGCCGAGATTGTGCCACTGCACTCCAGCCTGGGCAACAGAGTGAGACTCTATCTCAAAAACAAAACAAAACAAAACAAAACAAACAAAAAAATGAGATACTGGTGCTTGTGCTCTATCGACATTGTAGCTGAACAGTTCATTTTAAGCAAATGCTGGATTCTTTAAATAACAACTTTTCTGAGAGTCAGATTAAAGTATGTGGTGATGATAAACTATGGTCAAGTTATAGCTTTCAGCTAGCCCTGATTTCTATACTTCATTCCAAATTCCAGCCATCTTTGGCATTTAAAGCCAATAAAATTCTTAGATCACAGGAAAGGATTGAGGTTAGGGGCTGTAGTTCAATGACAGACACACAACGTAAGTGTCTGCCATATGCTAAGAACCCCCAAGCTAAAGTATCTCATTTAATCTGAATTATGATATAGGAAATACTCTGCATTCCTTAAAAAAAAAAATCCAGTAGCATTTAAAAAAGCAACATTATTATAAATACATATATGTGGTATGTAGACAGATGGCTAATTACCTCATGATCATGAGTGGCCTGCCGGGCTGCATCTAAAAATATAAAAGAATAAGAGAACATTACATTTAAAAAGAAAGCAATAACCAAATCGAAGTGTATGACTGTGCCAAACTATAAAACCTGCTGATATATGTAGATTCTCATAACATATTATATTTTTCCTTAAGGCTTTATTAATCGGTCAGCCAACAAAAGTAAGGGAACCCCATACCTACAGAATTAGAATTCATAATTAGGCATAAGAGAAACAGCAGACACAGTTTTTAACTTTAGGGAGAACAGGGTGAAGGAGTAGACAGAAGACACAAACCAAAGACTACTTGTACAACATCTATAATTTTAGCAGGCCAGATGCCCAAGTAGAGAGAAGATGTGATGGCTAAGGAAAAATAGACTAGTTGTGGATGGTGCTTCAAAAATGACACATGAAAGTCTTAGAAGTGTTAAAGGCAAGTTACTGTTACTGATATAATTTTGTAGATAGGTTTGCTTATAGGCAGAGAAATGCCTAAACTGGGAATCAGGAAAAGGGCAGGCAGGCAACTAACAGGGGGCTTGGAGGACAAGCCAAAATCATCGATAACAGACATGGAAACCCAGTTGAAATTTCTAAATGAGAGCAATGTGATTTTAATAAAATTCCAAAATAATGCTTGTAAGTGAATACTGGATAGTGGAGAGAAAACAGAAACACGTCTTTTCTAGTTACCACTCTTAACAGTTGGTTTTATGACAGACACTCCATCACCCACAACAAATTACAAATACATTTGGTTCTGGTTTTGATACCTTGCCTATGAGATTTGCCTTTCTGACGGTCCTGGGTTTTCCTACTGAAGACCTTGTAGGCCTCAGTTTTCTGATACTGTTCCAGTTCCTTCATGTAGCGCTCCTTATCTCTGTCTGCTTCATCAAGGTAGCGCTAGGAAAGAAACACAGAATTATTTTCAAGAAAATGAGATCTTATTTAAATAAAATTAAACTACCTATTTGAAGAAAATGAGACAATTAGAACATGGGAAGAAAAGAATATAGGGAATATGCCTTAAAAAAGAATCAGAAAAATAAGAGTTGTATGAATAGAATAAAATATAACCTCTCAATTATAAAAGAAATAGGTCATTATGAGTTTTTAGACTAATTATTGCCTTTTCTAACCTAATGAAGACAAGTTCTACTGAGATCATTCTTATAAAAAATTCATGAAGATGATTAGAGTTATTCTTCTAACTCTATAGATAGAACTCTACATGGCCACTAGAGCCATCCTCATGAGATCTGCACACCACATAGGCACACTTAGTCTTCCCAGGGGAAGGAATAGAATATTACTTTGTTTTGCTGTCTCCAGCCCATTTTGAGGGGATGATGTCATACATCAATTGGCCCTTTAAGAGCCAGAAGATTGGAGCAATGAAGCTAGGAGACACAAAGAACGTAAAAATAATGATCTCATCCTATGGACCTAAAAATGGACTACTCTGAGAGAACCTCTATCTACATGCTTTGATTGCTTTGTGCTATTAATTATTTAAACAAAGTTCATTGCTCTACCAGGATTATTTTGTTTAATGCTTTGCCCTTTTCATTCATCAAAAGGAAGTATAAGAAAGTATAAAAATACTGCTTCTAAATGAATGGAAAACACACTCAGAAATCATATTAAACACCTTGTCCCACATAAGAGCCAGATGTAGGGGATACCCAACTGGCCAAATCTGGTACAATTTAAGCACCAAAATAATTAAGTATAGTAATACAATATAAACTAGTAGAAGAAACTTCATACGATTATTAGTATGATTTATAATAGACATAATACCAATGATTTGTTACCATACAAATACAATAAATGGGGGTATACATGGGGGTAGGAGCATGGTGGCTCACGCCTATAATCCCAACACTTTGGGAGGCTGAGGTGGGTGGATCACTTGAGGTCAGGAGTTCGAGACCAGCCTGGTCAACATGCTGAAACCCCATCTCTACTAAAAATACAAAAATTAGCTGGGTGTGCGTGGTGGTGCACGCCTGTAGTCCCAGCTACGTGGGAAGCTGAGGCTAGAGAATCACTTGAATCTGGGAGGCAGAGGGTGCAATGAGCTGAGATTGCACCACTGCACTCCAGCTTGGGCGACAGAGCAAGACTCCATCTCAAAAAACAAACAAACAAACAAACAAACAAATAAATAAATAAATAAATGGAGGTAGGGGATCGGGCATGGTGGCTCATATCTGTAATCAAAGGATGTTGGGAGGCTAAGGCAAGAGGATTGCTTGAGCCCAGATGTTTGAGTCCAGGCTGGGCAACAAAGTGAGATCCCATCTCTACAAAACATAAAATAATTAGCCAGGTTTGGTGGTATGTGCTACTCAGGAGGCTGAGGTGGGAGGGGTGCTTGAGCCCAGGAGGTCAAGGTTGCAGTAAGCCGAGATCTTGCTTAGATTAGAATGCTGAAGGCTAACTGGTAAATGTGAAGGGAGTGCTGGAGTTGGAAAAATCATCACGTTGTAACCATAATGATAAAGATTAAATCAGGCAAAAATAATCAATGGATACTAAATCTAGTGGAAAATGTTGATGTAGAACACACTATTTGCATGTTCTTAAATTGTCTCCCCATAGATTACTAATGACAAAGAGAATTTAAATCATGTACCAGGTAAGCAAAATTAATATTACCAGTGAGAAACAAAAGGACATTGTGTGCCTGCATATGTGATATACCGCCTATGCAAGTCATTCCACCAAGAATGCGTAACCTCAATCTAATCATGAGGAAACATCTGAAAAATACACAATAAGCAATGTTCTGTTAAAGGTAAAAGAAGTGGGGGAAGCAGAAGGGAACTGTATTTTAAAAAAAATATCAATGTTATAAAAGAAAAAGAAAGACTATGGAAATATCCCAGTTTAAGCTAAAGAAACTTGACTACTAAACACAAAACCTGACCCTAGACTGGAACCTGTCCTGGAATGGAAAAATGTTATAAAGAAATGAGGTTAGGTCAACATATGGATGACAGATTAAAGTACTGTTAATGAAAAATTATGAAATTGATGACTATACTATGGTTATATAAGAAAATATTCTTTGAAATAAACACTGAAATATTCTGGGGGTAAAGGGCTACAATGTATATAATTTATCCTCACATGATTAAAACAAAATTTTGTGTGTCTGGGTGTACACATGCAAGTGTGTGTGTTTGAGAGTGAGAGAGAGAGAGAAAGACTGAGCACGCAAAAGTGTAAGAAAGACTGAGCATATTATAAGTGCATATCGAAATGGAGAAATGGAATAAAATGTGTTAACAATAGGTGAATCTGGGCAAAGAGTGTTTGGATGTTCTTTGTACTATTTTTATGTTTGTAACTTTTTGTACATTTGAAATTATTTCCACAAAAAAGTTAATAAAACAAAAACAAACACAAAACCTTTGTCCTACGTAATAGTGGTTATCCCAAGAAATAACCACTGTTATTTTTACATTTTTGTTTATACACTTCTGTATTCTCTGAAAAGGATCTAAATAATGAGCACACATTAATTTTAAAATAAAGAAAAATAAAAAAGAAAAGAATAACATAGTATGTACAGCCCACTATCCTTTTCTACAGTAGTGCCAAAACAATGGATAATATTCACTGCCTTCTGCTAGCTTGCTACTACTAACACAGAGCTTCAAAAGTTGCAACTGAATCTGATCTCTTTGAAAATTTCTGAAGTCAATTAATTCCCAGGGGAGTATTTTTCAATTTGGTTTTAGTGTGTCTGGAATCCTTTCTAAAAAGTGTAAGTCATAAAAGAGTTTAAGACATAAAAGAAATATAGATATCTTTCAGATGCTGGGAATGCTGGGAACTTTTAACCCAAAGCAACTCCCACAATCATGACCACTTAGTGGTATTTCAACCAGCTCATGGCTATCTTGTCCATAATTCCTCTCGAATCTCTAACAAATGGATTCATTTCAGTTTGCCAATCAGGTTAGTTTCTGTCTTAGAGGAGAAAGAATTCAAGTTGTTCTTGCTTTATTTTCAATAGCAGGTTAATTTGCCAGACTCTAGTTTAAAAAATGTATTAAAGCAGTAACATTTTTTTCTTAAAAATCTTATGTGAACTGCAGAACTGTGTCAAGTGACTTTTTCTCATTTAATTCACAACTTTTCATTTAACTCAGTGGAATATATTTTATTGGTAGATTTCTTAATACTGAACCACTTACAAAAATCTTATGTGACCTCAGCGCATAAAAAGTGGTACTGCTTTGGTTGAGGGGAGTCCTAGACTCCTTCCCTGCTCACACCCCTCGAACAAATAGTTTAAAAATCACTAAGTTAGAGAAAACTGCTATGATGGACCCTGCTTTTCTGGTCGCCTAGGCACTGTGACAAAATTGCAGAATCAACTGTCCATCCTCTTTGCTTTTCTTTTGGAAGTTATTTCTGAGATATAATCAAAACCAAACAAAGAGTCAGGAATAAGAACAATTACCTGTTTTTCCTCAGGAGGCAGTTTACTCCATTCATTGCCTAACATCCTTGTGATTTCTGGAAATGGGACTTCTGGTCTCTTTGCTCGAAGCTGTTCTCGACGCTCATTCATGAACCGAACATATCCTGTAAGAGGGGATTTGGGTGCATTGCTGTCTCGAAGAGGTTTCTTCCTCTTTCTTCCTTTGGACCAACCTCCTCGTTTACTTCGTTGCTACAAAACAAAACAAAATAAAAAACCAAAAACCAAACAACAACCATCTCCCAAAATAACCCAACAACAACAAAAATAAACAACAACCAACAAAACAGGATTAAGAGTTGCAATTTGGCCCTGGATATTCAAAGCTCTCCATATCTGTTGTAGCTATTATAAATGACAGCAATGCAATTTTCGAGGAACTCCAAATGCTTCACTTGCAAACTCTTTTACATACCACACTACAAAATCTTGCATTAAAGGGCTATTTTTGTGCTAATCACAATGTGTGAGAATAAAAGGTGCCATGATCACTCAGCTTTGACCTTCATATGCATATGACTGTCCCACAGACAACTGTCAGGTCCTGATTCCTGACAGGAGAGTGTCCAAATGGGAAATACAGCAGCACATGCAGCATTGTGGTAGAGAGGCAGACGTTGTCAGATCAGAGTGAGATGGTGTCACACGCACCAGGCAAAGGAAGAAACAAGTTGTAGCAGAGATTAAAAATAACTCACAAAGGGAGCTGCTCATTGGTAACTTTCAAAGACTAGCTTATTTCCCATAGCAGATAGCAAATGGAATATTACATTAATATCTAAGTCTCAGAAAAATTTCAGTAAGTATATCTGAAATGAAGATGAGGTCTTTGGCTTGACAATTTGTTCCTTTAGATGTAAATTTAATTTTAATTTTTTTTTTTTTTTTTTGAGGTAGAGTTTTGCTCTTCTTGCCCAGGATAGAGTGCAATGGTGCTATCTCGGCTCACTGCAACCTCTGCCTCCCAGGTTCAAGCGTTTCTCCTGCCTTAGTCTCCCAAGTAGCTGGGATTACAGGCAGGCACCACCACACTCAGCTAATTTTTGTATTTTCAACAGAGATGGGGTTTTGCCATGTTGATCAGGCTAGTCTTGAACTGCTGATCTCAGGTGATCCAACCACCTCAGCCTCCCAAAGTGCTGGGATTATAGGCATGAGCCTCTGCACCCAGCCTAGATGTACATTTCGTAGTCAGAGGTCTTTATATGTTGAGTTACCAGTTAAATCAAAAGATTGAATCACCTCTGAAAAAAAACTAAAGAAACGAAAAGGACTGAGGTACCACTGATGTTTCACCAGAGCCCTTTTTCTTGGCCCTTTAAATAAGATGTAAGGTACATCATATTTTCACTTCATAATTTTACAAATACACACAGCCCTATCAGTTAATGTTTCATGGAAACAATAATTCTTATTTCAGACAGGAAAAAGATAAATAAACAAGGACAAAAATATCTAAATACTAACTGTAGTACTCTACTCCTCCAAATGTATATAAAATAAAATGGTATGATAATTCACCATTGGGCAAATTATGTATTTGGTATTAGTTTATTTTTCTTTTTTTTTTACCTAGTTACATTAAAGTTACTATGGGCTGGCACAGTGGTTCACACCTGTAAACCCAGCACTTTGGAGGGCCAAGGCAGGCGGATCACTTGAGGTCAGAATTTCGAGACCAACCTGGTCAACATGGGGAAACTCCATCTCCACTAAAAATACAAAATTGCCCAGGCATGATGGCATGCGCCTGTAATCCCAGATACTTGGGAAGCTGAGGCAGGAGAATAGCTTGAACCTGGGAAGGCAGAGTTTGCAGCGAGCTGAAATTGTGCCACTGCACTCCAGCCTGGGCAACAGAATAAGGCTCCATCTCAAAAAAAACAATTTGGGTTTAAGGTATTTAAGAAGCTTTAAGCATTCATTATAATCTTTTAAAATGCCAATAGGAGAGATAAAAAATTAATTTTTTTTTGTTTGAGACAAAGTCTCACTCTGTAGCCCAGGCTGGAGTGCAGTATCTTGGCTCACTGCAACCTCTACCTCCAGGTTCAAGAGATTCTCCTGCCTCAGCCTCCCAAGTAGCTGGAATTACAGGCACCTACCACTGTACCTGGCTAATTTTTTGTATTTTTTAGTAGAGACGGGTTTCACCATGTTGGCCAGGCTGGTTTTGAACTCCTAACCTCAGGTAATCCGCACGCCTTGGCCTCCCAAAGTGCTAGGATTACAGGCATGAGCCACCAGGCCCAGCCAGCTTTTTTAAAATAAGAAAAAAGACAAAAATCAATGGTGGCACTCTTTATTGGCTTAAAAAAAAAAAAAAAAAAAAAAAAAAAAGAGTGCCTTAAAACACTGACAATGTAATCAGTTATTTGTAAGAAACACTGAAAGTCCAACAAGGGCATGACTGCCCAGGCTCATATGCCTTTGTGTGAGTTAGGGAAAGGTACTCCCTATGGGAGGGTGAAGGATTTGGTAAGTAGTATGAATCCTTTGGGCACATAGGGCTCCAGGCAGCAGGGCTTGGTGAGCAGAGTGTGGCCTTGAGTAAGGGCATGTACACTTCTTATTACTTACTTATTAATGATTAAATCATTCACTCATTCAACAAGTATTTGTTGAACATCTAATATGAGGTAGGTATTTCTTAGGGAACAGGGAAAGAAGAGTCTACCTGTCTATGCCATTAAAATTATTAATATGGTTTCGTATAAAACAAGAAATAGAAAACAGAAAATTTTGCAGGTATCAGCCTAAGAATATAAGAAGGTTAGATGATCAGCACCTTGATCAACACACCTTCCTTGTGACTGCTTCTTCAGAAGTTTCAGAGGATAGGAACAGAAGGAGATACTTCAGCTTACCTCATCTTCATGCCTCTGTTCATTGCCTTCTGCTGCATTTGAAGACTCACTCTGAAGCAACTGACCTTGGGAGAGATCCTCCACAAATTCTGGATTGTTGGTGGATGATGTGGCGCCACTACTGTATGGAACCTCTGGGTGATTTAACCTGAATAATAGGCAGAAGTATCAACAACACAAAAACTCCACCTGTTTACTAAGGTTCTAGATAAATTTCCCTGCCAGCAAAAGCACATGCCAGTCCTTGAATTAATTCCCCCAGTAATCTGTATAAATGTAAACAATGTCTTCACAGAAGTTACAGGGTGTTTTAAAAAACTGGTTTCAGTGCTTGATTAAGCCAGGTCAGTTCCATGAAGACATCTCCTACCAAAACCAACTATAATCTTCTTCAAAAAGATGATCTCCTCTAAACACAGACTTCATGTTTTAGTTCTGAATATGCAGTAGAATCTGACTTTTACATGCTACCTTTCATGTATCTCCAATGTAAAGGGAAAACACTATTAACGAAAAAAGTGAATAGCAATGGGAGTTGTAGAGGCAGTTTGCCAACTATCACAAAAGAGTTCTTAAAGGGTGTAAGAAAAAATCTCTTAATGGTACATTTCATTGGCTATTTCTTCTTGGATTATAGCGTTTACTGACAATTAGATCATCTAAGAACAATATCAAGTTCAGTAAGTTCAGGTATACATGTTAATAAATCAGACAGATGTACTTATTTCCTGCTCCCACTATACTGTTCCAGATGAGTTAGCAAACCAGATTTCACCCTTCTGAAGAGCGAACACAAGAAGCTACAGATGATGGTAGGGTCTTAGGTGGACTTATCTTATTACATGTGGACAAAGGAATAGAAGGAAAGGTAACGCCATGTGCTAGTGAGTATTTTTGTTTTCGTTTTTGACCGAGGGAGGAGTTGGGAAAGCAAGAGTGGTAGAAAGATGGATAATAGAGTAATATTCAGTCATTATTCTGAAAGAATGCACAACCCATAGTGTTATAGAGAATCATTACACTGCAACATAAGTACTAAAATAAAGGCTTGTTAAAAGTACCATAAAGGTATGGTAGAGTGTATGATGAATTTTGTATGTATGGAGGGATGTGAAGAAAGAATTTATAGAGGAGGTCCTAAAAGATGAGTATGTATTCATCAAGGTAAACAACACCATTCCAGATAGAACTGGGTATAAAAGGAGAAAGGGAGACTATCAAGAGGTTACTGTAATAGATTAAGTGAGAGACAAAGGCAGGCAGGATTCCGAGCAGAAGGAAAGCTAAGAGATACTTAAGAGGCAGAATGGCTAGGTGTGGTGCCTCACGCCTGTAATCCCAGCACTTTGGGAGGCTGAGGCAGGTGGATCACTTGAGGTCAGGAATTCAAAACCAGACTGGCCAACATGGTGAAACCCTGTCTCTACTAAAAATAAAAAAATTAGCTGGGCATGATGGCAGTGCCTGTAATCCTAGCTACTGGGGAGGCTGAGGCAGGAGAATCGCTTGAACCTGGGAGATGGAGGTTGCAGTGAACCGAGATCACGCCACTGCACTCCAGCCTGGATGACAGAATAAGACTCTGTCTCAAAAAAAAAAAAAAAAAAAAAAAAAAAAAAAAAGGTAGAATGGAGAGAACTTAATAACTGATTGACTTTAATAGTGAAAGAAAAGAAGAGTCAAAGGTAATTCTGAGGCTTCCAATTGATGGTTATGTACTTAATATTAACCAAGGTAAGAACAGGGGTATGTATGTGTGTGTGGACAGACAGACAAGAAAATGATAAATGTGAAACACTTGTAATATAATTAAGTAGAAATGTACTACAGACAACTGGAAACATGCCCCAGGAAAACAGAAGTGGAACAAAAGGGCATAAAGATAGACTTGAGAGGCGTTAGCCCATGGAAATAATGGGCAGTGCTAGATATTCTCCAGAAAGACAGTAAGAAGGAAAAGTCAGGATAGAACTCGGCTGAAGCAATATCATTGTATGAGCAAGGTAAAAAAACTAGGAAGGAGATTGAGAAGGGCATTAAGATAACTGGAGAGAAGACGACTGCAGAGGCCAAGGCAGGAAGACTTTTGAGAAGGGTAGTGGCTAATCAAGTAAAAAGTTGCAGATGTTAAATAAGATAGGCCAAAAAGTATCTGCTAAATTTGAAGACCTGAAGGTCACTGCCAATTTTAGTTAAGTATAGTTTTAGTGGAATTATGAGAATAAATCCCAGATTACAGTGGACCGAGAAATGGATGAAAACAGGAAGCAGACTGTCTTGGGACTGAAAGCAATTATACTTTTCTGACCCTTTCTAGGAAACATAATAGATGATTTTAGCAGGAGATTCCTACATTTTTGAGGTCCTTTAAAAAAGGTTAAGTAAAAGAAGCTATGAAATCAATGCCAATCATTTTCGCTGAAAAGAGGTACCATCGAGATCCAGTTTGATCTCTGCAGGGCTGTTTTCCAAATATTTCAATCATTTTGGATGTGTTAGACAACTTGTTCTTTCACTGTCATTTTCATTTCAACTGTGCCATCAATTTTTAAGTTACTAATTCTTGTCCATTCTTATTTCGGTAAAATATAAGAACTAGGTTTGGGAAAGAGTAGCAATCCTATGAATCCCTGACTTAAGTGGACAGGAATCACTTGGGAATTCACACGGGAAAACAGAATCCCATGAATCCCTGACTTAAGTGAACAGGAATGGCCAAGGCAGCACATGCCTTCTTGATGACAAGTTGGACGAAGACTGGAAAAAAAAAAAAGGGGGATCTTTTGTTACCATGAATAAACTATCCATGTTCCTAGCTAAAGCCAACAACCCTTCTATTTGCACCCTTGATCTCACATACTCTTGTTTACCCAGGGGCAGATTTTCAGCAATTCTGTCCTTTCTGGCAATATAAATTCTTTTCTCTCTACAAGATCAGTCTAATCAGCATATACGTATGACATTAATTCTCTTAACACAAAACAAAATGAAAAGAAAAAAACTCAATCCCACTTCCAGTTAAGGTCCCAATTTTTCTCCTTTCCTTTATAGCACAACCCCTGGAAATAACTTGTTTATACTTACTGACTTCTCCTCCCTTAAGCCCACTTCAAAGGAGATTTGTGTTTACAACTCTTGTCAAAGCCACCAATGACACCCATGCTAAATCCAGTGTCATTTCTCAGCCCCCATCTTACCTGATGTACCAGAAGCATCTGACACGTTGATCTTTTCCCCTTCCTTGAAATACTTTTTTTTTTTCACTTGGGTTCCAGGACCCTTCACTCTTCTGGCTTTCTGCTACCTTTCTAGCAACTTGTTTTAGACTCTATTGACTCTTCCTATTCTTTCTTTCTTTCTTTTTTCTTCTTTTTTTGAGACAGAGCTTGCTCTGTCACCCAGGCTGGAGTGCAGTGGCACAATCACGGCTCACTGCAACTTCTGCCACCTGGATTCAAGCAATTCTCCCACCTTAACCTCCCAAGTAGTTGGGTGTGGTGGCACGTGCCACCACACCTGGCTGATTTTTGTATTTTTAATTAGAGACGGGGGTTTCACCATGTTGGCCAGGCTGGTTTCGAACTCCTGACCTCAAGTGATCCACCCACCTCAGCCTACCAAAGTGCTGGGATTACAGGTATGAGCCACTGTGCCCGGCCTCTGTCTGACTTTTAAATGCTGGAGTATGCCAGAGCTCAGGCTTTAGATCTCTTCTTTCTTCCATCCATAGAGTGCTCATTTCTTTGGTGATCTCACTCAGTCTCGTGGCTTTGAATGTTATATGCTGATAAATCCCAACTTTCTGTCTCGCCTAAACATCCCCCTAATAGCAGAACCTGATATCAAAGTGCATATGTGACATCTCCACTTAGATATCTAATAAGCATCTCTAATGTAAAATTTCCAAAACTGAGCTCCTACAACTCCCTCCCACACTTGTTCTGTTTTCCCCAACTAAGCTAACGGCAACTCCATCCCTCCAGTTGCTTTGGCCAAAACTTTTGAGTTGTCTTTGACTGCTTTTCTTCTCCTTTCTTACATTCCTCATCCTTTCTTTCAGGCAAATTCTGTTTGGTATACCTTCAAAATATATCTAGAATTCTATACTTCTCACTACCCCTCATTCCCATTATTTTTGAAACACACTCCAATGAGGTTTTTGCCCCTACTATTCCACCAAAAACACTCTTGTGAAAGTCACCCGATGATGGTTCTTCAGGCTATCATCTGTCTCCCGAATTATTTTAAGAGCCTCCTAACTGGTCTCCTCGTTCCAGCTCCTGCTCCCTTCACTCTATTCTCAATACAACAGTCAGAGGGATCTTATTAAACCGTAAGTCAGATCATATAATTCTGCCTGAAACCCTCCAATGCTCTCCCACTTCAGAGTAAAAGTTAAAGGGTTTATTTTGATCTCTAAAAAACATTTTGATCCCTATGATCTAGTCTCTTCTTACCCAAAGTATGGGTCTCATACCAACAGAACTGGCATTCTCTGGGAGCTTGTTAGAAATGTAGAATCTCTGGTCTTCATATTTTCTAAATCAGAATCTGCATTTTCATCAGCTCTCTTGGCAATTCATGTTTGAGAAGCACTGATGTAATCCTCTACTGCCTCTTCTGCTGCTATGTGTGCTCTAGCCACACCGGCCTCCTGGCTATTTCGGTAAGATGGAAACTCTCCTGCCTCAGGGCTTTTGCACCTACTGCTCCCTCTGCCTAGGATAATCTTCCCCAGAAAACTGCATGCTAGTTGCCTTATTTCCTTCAGGTCTTTATTCAAGTCACTTTCTCATTAAACACTTTCTGGGCCATCCTGTCTAAAACTGCATCCCCAAACCCTTCCTATCCCTTTTCTCCACTTTTTTCTTTTTTAAAACTATAGTTCTACTTTGGGAGGCCGAGATGGGCGGATCACGAGGTCAGGAGATCGAGACCATCCTGGCTAACACGTGAGACCCTGTCTCTACTAAAAAATACAAAAAACTAGCCGGGCGAGGTGGCGGGTACCTGTAGTCCCAGCTACTCGGGAGGCTGAGGCAGGAGAATGGCGTAAACCCGGGAGGCAGGGCTTGGGCGACAGGGCGAGACTCCGTCTCAAAAAAAAAAAAACAACAAAACTATAGTTCTTATCAACATAATATGTGTTTTACTTATTTATCCTGTTTATTGTCTGATTCAACAAGTTGAATTTGAACTTTAAAGGGCCTATGATTTTTATCTGTTTTGATCAATGCTTTCTATCTAATGCCTGGAACAATGGCACATAGTAGATACTCAGAAAGTTTTTACTGAATGAATATAGTAACTAAGCAGCCTTTAGAAAAGTCTTGGAGAATACTTTCATCTGAGTAGTGAGGTCAAAGGCGGATATCAACGAGGTGAGAAATAAATGTGAGGGAAGGAAACAGAATTACAAAGTATAGCCTATTTTTTAAAGAGCTCCAAAGAATATTAAAATAATTCATCTTAGGGATTAGCTAGCACTTCAGTCTATTAGTGAACACATTTTCTCTTTGCCAAATAACCTCTAAATATCTAGAAAGGACAAAAATTCAAGTGGAACAGAGATTTTAAGGGAAGAGGTAGACTACTGTTATTAACCCTTTTCTGTATCTCTTTACATATTTCTCAAAAGATCCCACAGAACGGAGAACGAGGTGGGATGGGGAAAAGAACAGAAGTCAGCTGAAGTTACTAAGCATTTTGAATAAAGAACCACATTAAAAAATCTGATCTTTGGGAAAAAACTATTTTAATATCTATGGCAATTTGAACAGAAAATGCATTTGTTTTTTAGAGCTAGCTCTGTGGCAGGTATTTCCTTAACGGTGACTATATAATTTTCTTAACTGGAGTCACCAATGTTTGCTAGATTCCACATATTGTTGTATCAGTTCACAAAAACCAGAGCACTGCAAAAGATAATCGAATGCAGATTACAAAGTGGTTTATGATGGCTGTCACTCTCTCTGCAAAGTGAAATAAATGCACCCTCTATTCTTATGATATAAAACTGCCTCTTTAGGACTTCTTCCTTTGTTAGAAGTTTTGTTTTGAGGCCTATGGAGAAGTCCAATGTTCCAAAGCAGCTGCTTACCCAGTGGTAGCCAGATCATTACTCTCCTTGGAGCCATCTTCATCTGCAAAAAGGGGCGGTAGGGTGGAGCTAGTCATCAAGTTTTCCATCTCTCTGAAAGGAAAAGAGAATAGTAATAAAAAGATTAATGGCTTAATTACTTCCATTTCAAGTTCCACTAATTTAAGAGCCAGCCTTCCTGAACTTTATCACATAAGCAACAGAATAAAAACTGACCTAAATATTTATTTTCTTGACTTGGACACATCAATTTAAACTGTATGGTGAATGGGCCTTTTAATCTTGGTCTCATCAACTGACCAGACTGAAAACAAGTTAGGTTTTAACAACTGGGATGTGGTTTGGAAAATTCCTTTTTATTTATCCAGAGTATCTTCAAAAGTATTCATTTCCTGTAGAAATTGTTAAGCAGGGTAACTCAGAAGCACTGCCACTCTGAGCAAGTTATTTAAGCTCTTTGAGCTACAATTTCACCATCTTAGACTAAGACAAAATTGCTGACTTAACGCAAAGGGTTACTGTGAGGGATTAAAATGAAAGTGCTTAATAAACAGAGAAAGTCTAAGGTAGTAAGTGCATTGAGTATTATATAAAGAAAGGTATTGTTATTACAGCATTACCAGTTCTCAGTCCCAGATGAATCATCTGTAGATTAAATGGTGGCAAACTGAGCCCTCCAAAAGGAAATAATGCAAAGGAAGTACAGGATGGAAGGCATGCTGATGTGGCTCTGAGTCAAAGAAACCACACTTCCAGGTCAGAAATATGCTCCACATACCATCATAACCAAGAGCAGAAATAGCATGCACCTGGGTACAGGAAACAACTAAGCTTAATTGAAGAAAACAAACAAATCACAAGAACTGAGGTTATCAGACTGAACGGACAAAAGGACAAAGTGACAAAGAATAATTTCATTTAGCATATCACTATGACAAACGATTTTTGCCTTTCAAGGCTTACCACCAAGGGCATCATCCCATGTAGTTAAAAGCAGCAGCCTTCCCTTCATCATGAAAGGGATATTCAAACAAAACATTCAGCAGTGACCCCAAACATCAGCCACTTACGTAGAACTGCAAAGCACTCAAGAAAAAGAGTGCCTCAATCAACTGGGAGAATTGAGAAGCAAATTATGAGAATTCACTTAGGAGCTTCCTCAGGAGTTATTTCAGGTGCTGCTGCTAAGGAGACCTAGTGAAACAGCAATTAAAAGGAATGCACAGCAGCAAAGTAGAGCCAGGATCATTCCACTGAAGCGGAAATATGAAGAAAATGCCGATGACACGAAGACCACATTCTCCATGTTCAATGGAGTGATTTATTTCCAAAAGATAACATTGATGTTTTATTCCTTATTCTTACTTATTCTCACTTCTAAGTTTATTATTTAGCAGGCCAAGTTCCATAAATAGCTTGATGGGAAAAACACATCTTTGTACAAATATTACCCATTACAGTGGATAGAGCATGCAAGGTAGAGAGGAACTTCTCACTCAACCAGAGTAAGCACTTTATTCTACTGCAGGAACACTTGCTACCTCTTTTCAGTTCCTTCAAGATAAGGTGTTAACAAGTGGAATAGCTCTAATAAATGCCACAAAATTCCATTCTACATGTTTTACTGAATAACTCTGACTCAAGTGTACTTAAGTTTTAATTCACATTATACAAATACCAGATTAAAGCCTGGGCTTTAACGGCTGCTAACATCACCTCACACCAATGCCAATGTTCATTCTACAAAAAGAAAACTGTAATATCTGTTAGATCATATAGACTATCCATAGTGAGCAAACATTCAAATGACCAGGTATATACCTGAATATACCAGGTATATTCCTTAAGGAACTCACTTGACTGGCGTTTTTTTTTTTTTTTTTTTTTTTTTGACACAGTCTCGCTCTGTTGCCCACGCCTCCCAGGTTCAGGTGATTCTTGTGCTTCAGCCTCCCAAGTTGCTGGGATTACAGGTACGTGCCACCATGCGCTAATTTTTGTATTTTTGGTACAGATGGGGTTTCACCATGTTGGCCAGGTTGGTCTTGAACTCCTAGCCTCAAGTGATCTGCCCGCTTTGGCCTCCCACAGTGTTAGGATTACAGGTGTGAGCCCCCGCGCCTGGCATTGACTGGTTTCTTTCTAAAAGAATCCCTAGAAGTCAATGGCCTTTCAAGAACCTTGAGATTCAGCATTTAAAGCTCTTGGCATTGCTCCTATGCCTCAAAAGAAGATATATTATCTGGTGCGGGGACAAATGAAGTGTCTTTTCATTCACTATGCCAACATGACCCTGTTAGAGTGTTTTCCAGATATCTTTAGTCATTTCTGAAATGTGGGGAGGCAGCTGGATAACATAACCTTAACAACATATAAACAGATCATATAAACAAAGGAAGTTCAGAGAACACACATTTTTTCCTTTTTTATTTCCCCTCTCTTAAGTTTGCTGTACTCAAACCCATATGGTTTCAGATACATTTTTCTCAGTGTTACTGAGTAGTCAGGTCCCTAAGAGATGAGTAATAAAGTGGGTGGAAGGTTAAGGGGCCAAGATCAACAAAAGAAGGAAATGAAGAAAAGTGCAGTGAAACCCAAAAGCCTCTAAACTAGTCCAGTAAGTTGGAAAATACAATGATTCCCAATAATATGTCTGGGATCCTGGGAGAATGTGTTTCATATGGTCCACGAGGGAGTGATTCAAATGGAATCATGGCTACCAAGCCACTGACTGCCAAAAGCCCTTCACATGTAGCATCTGTGCCTGATGATGTCCCAGTACGGGGGTCACAGTGAACTTTGAAATTTTACGCAAAGCACTTAAGAAATGTGATGAATGCTGCTCTAGAAGGGGAAAGAAGAGAAATTTGTTCAAAGGCAAAGCAATATACAACTTTGGCTCTTCACTGCACTTTATATAAACAGGTCTATCATGCAGATGTTTCTTAGTAGAGGGGACTTATCCAGCTTCTACCAGGAAGCCTCACAAAAATGGTATTACTTTGCCACTTACACTTTGAACCAGGGTCTAGTCCTGAGCTTTGGAAATCCCAAAATTCCCTCTAACACTAACCACTCACTGAAAAAAATTGATACATAAAAGAGTGCCAATTTAAAATATTTTAATGATTACAAAGATTGTAATGAGAATTATATTAAGCGCACCAGATACTTACTGACCAGTGAACACATTCTCTCTCTGTAGTCATCTAGTAGGCCAGATCATAATCAGAACATTGCTATGGTCAATATATGGCCAGAACAAAGGAAATTAGGTGGAACTGAAGAAATGTTCCTCAACTAAGATTGCTCTAGTAATCTTTCCCAGTAATAGGGATGATCACACCAATGTGACTATGTTATTCTAAATGTGTTGGACAGTGCTGGAAGCATATTTGTACTTCTGGTTTCTGGGGTTGGCTCTTTTCAAGCGCCCTTTTCTTAGTTTACACATGCTAACCCCACTTCCCTAAGTCTTTTCATAGAGATGCAGCATATTCCTTCCCCACCACTCCCTCTCCAACCATACACCTCAGAATTGAGAGGTGAGATTCTGCCCATTTCATTTTCCATGCTACAGGCTTTATGCAAAACCCTTGGTTCCTTTAAAACATCAGGTTGCTTGGTTTATCAACCTCATACCCAAAAATCTCTTACCACCATCTCCCATCATTTCAGCTCTCTTAATTCTCCTATTACAACTGACCTTTAAACATGCAAACCTCTATTCTTATGGCCCTTGATTTCCCCTTCTCTGTCCAGCTTAGCTTCGACGGCTACACTGCAAATGTTCTTTTGCCAGCACTCAATTCTCTTGTACTATATCTTTCTATACACCAGAAGTAGATCAACTCTTAAGTTTTGGCTCAAGATGATGCAGAAAAAAAAAAAGACAAAATAGAGAGTATTACTATAAATGTATGGCATCCAATCACAACTGGGCCCTCTATGCTCTTAGTAATCACTATATGTTCTTAGGATATTTCCCAACTGCCATATTATCTCTGTCAAAGCTTTTCAACCAAACTCACCCAAATCCCTCCAACTCAGTCAGCATTATCTTTTCATATTCCTCAACCCCAACTCATGCCAAAAAGCATACTAAGTTGCCTTTTTTAGAAGACATAATTGATATACCATAAAGTTCCCCCCTTTACTACATACAACTCAGTGGTTTTTAATGTATTTACAAGGTTGTGCAACCAACACCCTAACCAATTTTAGAACATTTTCATCATCCCAAAAAGAAACACAATATCCTTTAGCAAACAATCCCAATTCTCCCTTCCTACTAGTCCTCCTAGGCCTGGGCAACTGCTAATCTACCTTTTTTTTTTTTAAAGACACAGGGTCCTGCTTTGTCACCCAGGCTGGAATGCAGTGGCACAATCATAGCTCACTGAAGCCTCAAACTGCTTGTCTCAAGTGATCTCTCTGCCTCAGCCTCCTGAGTAGCTAGGACCACAGGCTTGTGCCACCATGCCTGCCTAATTTTTAATTTTTTTTGTAGAAATAGGGTTTTGCTATGCTGCCCAGGCTGTCTTGAATTCCTGGCCTCAAGCAATCCTCCTGCCTCAGCCTCCCGAACTGTTGGGATTACAGGTGTTAGCCATCATGCCTGCCTACTTTCTGTCTTTATAAATGTACCTATTCTGATATTTCATATAAACAGAATCATACAATATGTGGCCTTTTGTGTCTGGCTACTCTCACTTAGCATAAAGTTTTCAAGGTTCACATTGTAGCATGTATCAGTATTTCATTTCATTTTATGGCTGAATAATATTATACTGGATGGCTATTGCACATTTTGTTGATCTACATATCAGTTGATAGACTTGGGTTGTTTCTAATTTTTGGCTATTATGAATGCTGCTGCTTATGAATATTTGTGTATAAATTTTTGTGTGGACATGTTTTCAATTCTCTTGGGCATATACCTAGGAGTGGAGTTGCTGGAACATCTGGTACCACCATGTTTAATATTTTGAGGAAAAATCAAACTGTTTTTCAAAGCACCTCTACCATTTTACATTCACACTAGTAATGTATTAGGGTTCCAATTTCTCCATATCCTCAGCACACTTGGTATT